GGGTTGAGAATCACTGTTTGTTATCTGATTATTATTTACAAAGAAATGGCAAAGAATTAATGGCTTCTAGAGGCAATACTAAAAACCATAAAACTGAGTCAAAATTATTTTTTGAAAATGTCTCATCAAGCTCAGAGAAGCTCTTGAGGTGTTGGTCAACATTTAAAGCAGTGAATTTTTAGATGTTTCCCTGATTTGACACACCTGGTTTGAATGAATGAGTGATTAACAATTTTCTGAAGACCTGCTGAATAGCAGGGAAACAAGTAAAACTCGCTGGATAGGGATATTTGAGGACCAGGATTGGGAACTGTGGTGGAACTAATACTTTTAGGTTCAAGCCAGTTGAACGTTGACCTTGTATCAAATCTTGCTAAGATGACATAATGGTGTTTGTTAATACCATGTATGTGACTTTTGTGTTTTGATGGCAGAAAAAACACGTCAATAACAAATAATACAGTATATATATATATCAGAAAGTCACTTGAGTTCATGATAGTTCATCCCTCTTTACCAAAGGGGGAAAAATAACCAAAAAATAAATAAATATGAGACAGGGATAACTCAAGATTTTTATCTTCCGGTCAGACCTTGATGTTTTGAATGTTTTGTTTTTCCATAAAATCATTTCAGTTTTGGTTATTGTCCAAAAAGCYACCATTTTTACATTTTCACACACAAACAAACTGAAGAAATCCAACAGTAAAGTGAATGAAAGCACATAAAATGTAAAATGTAAAAAGCTCCATGAACGAATAAATCTAAATTAAACCATGTATAATTGTGCAGTAAATGCCTCCATAAACGAATACATTTAAATTAAACCATGTATAATTGTGCAGTAAATACCTCCTCATGCTGGTAAAGTGATGGGGACTGCGTGGAAGTCCTGTTGGTTCGTCACACAGTGACAGTCTTCTGATGTGCGGCAGAGCCTTGTTAAGACTGATAGCTTCTACCTGTTCACTATTTATTTCACCTCAGTGGCTTAGTGGCGTGTTAAACCGGTAGAACAAGAATGCCTGTGCTGGAAAGACCACACAGTATTCTGGTAATCCAATACCAGCATTCCTAATGTGCAGATCTTGACAAAAGCATGTATTTTCCTCCCTTTCATGCATCAGCATTTTTGTTACTGCAAACCAGTAAAACACATTTACAGTATGTGTTTATGTCAAAAACACCTAGTGAGCTTAATGACATGGAACTTAAAGATAATGTAACTTTACATACTAACACATAACCCATTTTATTGTTCAGAATTAAAAAAATTGTTATCTTGGTGTTAAAATGATTGGTTGAGATATCAWAACAACCCTAGCCTTCTAAACCCAGATTGGTAACCCTTCAGTAACAAAACTTTACAGTTTGCTAACAGAAATACTTGAGTATAAGTATGGGCAGGCATGTGATTCTGATGGTTCGATGAACAACAAAAAATATCGACAACTTCTGAAAACAATCGCCTAAGTAATTTTTTTCGAGTTGGTCAGGAATCTTGTGGAATACTTTTGGTTACGTTGTTTCCTGTACAACTTGGAAAAATAAAATCTTGTCATCATTTTTACAAGGTGATGATATTATGGTTTAGCTGTTTTGCAAATACAATTTAAAAATACTATTTTGACGTGAGTTTGATAAAACTTAAAGTTTAAACCACTGATCAAGACGATTTGCCATTATTAAAAWGTGTATGTTTCTGTTATTGTGTCAAAAAGCTTTGTGTTGTGTTCTAGACAGTGGCGCCCGCTGAATTTTTTTTTCGGGGGGGGGCACTAAAAAACCAGGGGTGGCACACCAAAACTAATATCYATAACAGAAATGTTATGATGTGGTTGTAAAATTGACAATTTAAAAACTGTGGCAATATAAAGCTATGGATTTGCCAATAGATGTTTAATTTGTAATTTTTACGGATATTATTATTGATTTTGTGACATTCAGAGACAAAAAAACAAGAATCCAAACTATCTGCACTTCCGCAGCAGTTATTTCTAACCTGTCCTGTATCTTTACACATGGAGTACCATAAACTGTCCTTACAATCTTACATATTTCACTGGCATCAGAAGTAC